TTCTCAAACGTCCAGGTACAAGATATAAAAAAATCAATTTTTTAACAAACATAACAGAATAAACTCGTCCGTTGTTTTAATTCAATTTTAACTTGCACTTACATTTAGAGAACAGACAGTCACTTTTGTGACTTTGTACAAATTTTCATATTCTACACAACTAGACTGCACGCGTGAATTTACACAAATCTTTTGAAAAAGAAAAATATACTATTTTTATGAAAGGGTGGATCCTTTGAAAGTTAATGAACCTCATTGTTAAAATATATATAAATATATATACACACATGTAGCAATGAAAAAAATGTGAAAGATTAACAATTACGTGTATTTAATAAATTCCAAAGAAAACGGAAAATCAAAAGAATCATCATCTGAACAGAAAGAAGAATAAACGCATCGTGCACGATATAGGTAAAAATTCGAAGGGCACGAGGGTGACGCGTTAAACGCCATTGTCCAAAGTTCCGTCGTTTCATCGTCTTCCAGTAAACGCGAAGACGCCGGCAAACGAAGACGATTCCACGGGGCGGCATCGAAATCACCCCCGAAATTCCATTTGCGATCCCTTGGAAAGGGAGGGAGGCCGCGTGCATACGTAAAGCGAAACCCGAGCCGGTAATCCGTCGTCGTGGAAGGTCAGGCAGCCGAAACGAAAATTGGCTAAATTTCGTTAAGTTTGGCAGCAATTACTTTTGATACCCGACACGCGGCCGTAATTGCGTTGGGCCAAGCGCAGAAGCGAGCGCGCGCGACAGAGAGGGGTAATAATTCGCTAATATCAATTTCAAATTTCAATTAGTATCATCTCGACGTCTGCTCCCAGACCTAACCGCCCGGCCGTCTCCTCCTCCCCCTCCACCACCCCCCACACTATTTCACTTCGCTTCTCGTTCTCTCTCTATCTCTCTCTCTCTCTCTGTGCCACGGTTTTCTCGTGGACCCCAGAAGAGCACGGCATGATCTAAAATTCAATTTGTCCCTTGTAGCGGAGCCGCAAAGGGTGAAGGAGCAACAAAGATAGATAGATAGATAGATAGAGAGAGAGACTAGGAGAAGAGAGACGAATGGGAAGGGGAAGGGACGATCGAGAGGGTGGTGGCGGCCGGTGGTTGGAAGCAAGCAACGTAGAATCGCGTGTACAGTGGAGAGGGTGGCGGAAGAGCATAGAGTTAGGGAATACACGGAGTTTAAAGCTTCCCGTTCGCGTGCACACGCCGTTATGTAACCCAGAGCTAGTACGGCCCTGTAGGCATGCGCATGCGCGACACGCCGACCCATTACAAATTGATAACTCCGCCGTTTATTAAGTTCCACCGACCGATGGCTGCTTAGGCAAAGAGCCCTCCACGCTCCTCGCCGATACCTGCATTATTTATTTACGGGAGTTTACAATCCCTCTAATGGGGATCGGCGTAATCGGCCGCCTATACGCCTCTAACCTCCATCCCTCTAGATTCCACCGTGGCCTTCGTGCCCCCCCCCCCTCCACCCCCTCCCACCTCTTCAGCAGAGTGTGACGAACATGCCGATGCCAACCCCTTTTTTGTCGCCGTTCTCTTATTTGCGTTTCACCCAGCTGTCAAAAATCCGAGTGTCGCAAGTTGCAAACAGCCAGGTTACCAGCCAGGTTTGATTGTTACGAGCGATGGTTGTTGCATGTGATAGCGTTTGAGTTTGAAAAGTATGTAGAGGTGCATATGATAAAATATTTTTGCTGTAATGGCTGTAGTATTAACCCACATTCGTTTTTTTGTATCAATTTGATACATTTTTTTTTTTTGTAAAATATATTTTTATTATATATTATATATATTATATTATATTTTTATTATATATAATATAACAATAATATTATATTTTTATTATATATTATATATATTATATTATATTTTTATTATATATAATATATATAATATTATATTTTTATTATATATTATATATATTATATTATATTTTTATTATATCTTATATATTATATATATTATATTATATTTTTATTATATATTATATATATTATATTATATTTTTATTACAATATATTATACATTTATATTATTTTGCAGCATGCAAATATATGGGCACAGGGGTGAGATTTTGTGACATTTATTTTTCCAACATTCAGCATAAATTTTTGACGTATTCAAGTCCCTTGCCTTCCAATTGCCGTGCTGTAATTATACATTTGTTTTTGCAAAATGTTATATTATTTGCAGCATGCTAGTATATACGTACAGAGGCGAGATTTTGTGACATTTATTTTTCTAACATTCAGCATAAATTTTTGACGTTTTCAAGTCCCTTGCCTTCCAATTACTGTGCTGTAATAATATATTCAATACATCAGCCTCTCCAATTTATAATTTTGAACATAATTATAACGAGTGAAAATCCAAAACAAATAATTGCAACGTTAGACGAAATTTGCGATTACGTATATTAAATAGAAATTTATTTTATTTATTGTTAATGGAAAAATTTGCAAATTTAACTATGTACTCTTTCATTATAGGTTATTACAGGTAATATTTTACCATTGCATCAAGAAATAAATTACATTGAAAAAATAATTTAAAAAGATACTTAAAATATTTCAATTACAGTGCTTCTTGTAATATTTAATTATAAAACAACTTTTTAAAGAAGGCCCTAATTTTTTGTTACATCTAAAGAAATAGGAATTTGTATAAAAATTCGCTGACTAATCATGATTGTATAAATTTTAACTAGCTATATATCAAAACACTAATAATGATCGGGCTATTTTGCATTTCCTCCAAAAAAAGAGCTACGCGTTATCGTTCAATTTTTATATAGTCTTAATGGAGTATCAGGGGTTGAAATTTAGACTTATAACACCTATAGAATAGATTTTCAGTATAGTATGCCAAAGTTCTTCCTTAATGTAATACATATGAGTAGGATCGATGAGTTACATACGCTAATAAGAAAAGAGATATTCTGAGAAAAGCAAAGTCAATCTTCGCTCGGTATTATTAAATTTGGATTGTAAATGATCCACAAAAATAGGTAGATCGCTACTCAATTATTTTATTATTTATAATAGTATTATATTATAGTGCTATATATAAAAACAAAAAATGCAACTGATTTTTACAGTGATGATCATTTTGTTACTTAAAGAAAACTTTGACAGTATCATTTTGTTACAAAAGAAAACTTTGACAGTATTGTCATTATATCTGGACAACTGCTTTGGCAACATCGTCATTATCTTTCTACGTGCACTTAAGTAATTAGATTCAATTTATTAGTTTGTGTGTGTAAGTGTGTTAATTAGTTTGTGTGTGTAAGTGGATAGTCTATACATTTTCCGTTTCTCTTCAATGTTATGAACTGTAATTATCTTAGCATATAATAAGGGTACATGTAATTGAATAGTTAAAATTCATAATCGTATTAACATTTTAACGAGGAAGCTCAACTCACGTTGCCATTGTAATTGTTTGCACAGAAGTACATCCTGTACATAAATTAAGCGTGGCTTGCACTTTGATAATTATAAGCGAGTTATACCAAGCTAATTAATGAAAAATTATCTCGGCCAGCACCGTGTATATTCCTTTCTTGCTAAAACCGAGTTCAAATTGTGTTTCCTCTTTAATGTAAACTAATTTTGCAATATGTTGCAACAACCATCAACTGTGCAATTATACGAAGAAGTCAAATTAAAATATTTTACTTTAAAATGCTACACAGCTAGGGACCAACATACCAACCAACTAGATATTTTGTAAAACTAAATGTCTATTTCAATATTATGCTGTTTTAAAATGTTACACAATACTCTCTGAATGCATTTCAATTTCACGCTGTTTCAAAATATTGCAGTATAATGTTACGAATAATATTATTAATTTCTCGAACGCAAATTAAATGCCCATTTAAAATATTACGAATAATATCATTAATTTTTCGAATGTAAACTAAATACTTATCTCTCTCTGTTTCAATTTTATATTATTTCAAAATATTACACATAAAATATTGCAAATAATGTTATTATAACTTTCGAACATAAACCAAATGCCTGTCATTCTTCACTTCAATTTTATGCCATTTTAAAATACTGTATAATCCTCTCTCAAACACAAATGAAATGCCTATTTACTAACCATATTAACACTCTCTTGAATACAAAATATAATGTTATTATAATGTTATTAAACTTTCGAACATAAACCAAATGCCTGTCATTCTTCACTTCAATTTTATGCCATATTAAAATATTGTATAATCCTCTCTCAAACACAAATAGAATGTCCATTTACTAACCATATTAACACTCTCTTGAATACAAAATATAATAGATACCTATTTACTAACAAAATGCCCATTTCAAATGATCTTTCTCCATTTCAGTTTTGCACTATACCAAAATATCCTTTCGAGCACAAACTAACTGCTTTCATCTCTCCAACTGAATTTTCCTCCATATATTATATATCACTCTTTCAAACAAACATATGCATATTTACTAACAAAATGCCCATTTCAAATTTGTGCTAGTTCAAAAACGTCACACGACATTTGTCCCTCGAGCATGAACCGTTTCCAATTTCGCATCATTCTAAAAAACGGATTAGCCTGTCGTCCAATTAACCATCCTAAGGAAACAATTGCTACCGTCAGCCAGTAATTACACAATTTCTCTTGCCCTCCCCTCCCCCCTCCCTACCCCTCGGACAAATCGTTCAGAAATATCCGTGACTGTACGTTTCCCTAACAACGTCTAATTCACCTTCCTGGAAAAATGATGCACCACTTACGTAAGAAACCCGTCTTTCTCTCCAATTGCAGATTGGATCAGTTCACACTCACCAGCCAAACAATAATCACCACCACCACGCGCATCATCAGCAGCAGCAGCAGCAGCAACAGCAGCAACAACAACAGCAGCAGCAACAGCAGCAGCAGCAACAACAGCAGTCGAGTCAATCGCAGGTGCCGGGGGCAGGAGGGGGTGGGGGGCCGGGGGGTGGGACGGTGGCCAGACCTGGCGGCATGTTCTGCTACCACTGCCCCCCGGGTCTTCCAACGCCACGGTTACCACCCACCCTCGAGTACCCATTCGCCGCCACTCACCCCTGTAAGTAGATATTCCATTTGTCTCCTGTGTATTATCCGCGGATGTTATTATCTGCATGCCGATACAAATTCAACGAGCTTCTTTCTTCGTCGAATTGAGAAACGTTCAAATCACAATTGAAAGAATTCTTTTCGCACCACGCGTATTTCACTTCCACTTTCATTCGAAGTCAAAGTAGAAAATGGAACCACGGTCTGGTATAATATGACAGAACAGTTGTTTCTGTGACTCGATAAAATAAAGATCAGAAATTTACGCGAAAGTTGCTGTATTTGAGCCCAATGTTTCGCCACTTTAAGAAATGGATAGGCTTCTGCGTAACTTGGCCCAGTTAAAATATAACGCAAAAGAAAAATAGATAGAATTTCACTTCCTAAAATATTTCAAGATATATAATAATCAAGTTGACAAATACGTACTACCATCGAGATCCCTTTCGCCTTCCGGCGACACGATTACCAACGTCCCTAGAGTACTGTTTTGCTCCGATTTACCCCCCCCCCCTTCCCCCCCGTAAGAAAAATTTGATTCCGCCCATAATCTTACATTTCTTCATCTATTTTCCCCCTTACTACTCTTCCTCAATTTCACTCTGGCCGCAGCGAGGGTGGATTTTAAAGCGAGCTGTATCGTAGAGAAACGTCGATTCAATTTCTCGAATCATCCCCGACATAACAGGAATTATAAACGATGATGGAACTGTCCATTTAAGGTTGAAGTATTAGTACGAAACGAAGATGATAGAAAATTGGTCCGGAGTGCTTAGACACAGACAAATATTAACAAGATAGTGTAAATTGTAACAGTTATTTATTGTATGGTAGAAAAATGCTACGAGAAAGATAGTTGAATATACACACTGGAAAAACTCTGTAAAGAACGAATGAAACATGAATATTCAATTTTCGTCACTCTGTAAATAAAAATTGATATCTAGCAGTCAGTGTGGTATCGGTTATTGTAATTAATCTGTAGTTATAATTTCAATTATGTTTAAATATAACAGACAAGTGTCAATTGTGTTGGTGAAAGAGTTTATTTGAGTTGTTAGTTCATGTTGATTGAATATTATTTGTCTTGTTTAATTATTTGTCGTTTTATTATCATTGCTCCTATTAAATAAACATTATTTATATTATATCTCTGCATTTATATGAACAATTATTAATAAAAATATTACTTGATGATATAAGAAAGACAATAAATAATAATAACAAATATTGATGCATTTATTTAAGGAAATGTGTTCATAATTGTACTTGGTTTATATAATTAAGTATCTGAATTAGCATATGAAATTGCACAAAATAATGTTTGTTCTTAAATATTAATGATAAATGATTTACGACAAAATCAGCGTGTCGTATGTATCGATTCATATCCACGATTTTTCAGATAATTTTAAGTTCGATGAAAAGTTAATCAACATCTCGAATAAAAGTTAATCAACATCATCGTGATTTGTGAAGCGTGGAATTAATGACACTAGAATCTACGATAATATTTCTTTTAATTTCTACATTCAAGGTCACTTCAATGTCATAGTAACAGTCAAAAATACACAGTGTCGTTTGAAAAAGCCAAGGCGATCTTCACTTCTCACTGATAAGAAAACTTCTTTTGGAAATCCCGTGCGTTGCGACAAAATCGACTGAACTTTTGTTCAAGGCACATTCTTTTTGCCAGAAAAAAGTGCTTGAAAAATCACGATGACGATTGATTGTGCTCTTCGTATTAAAAAAAAAAAGAGAAAAAAACAGACGAAAGGTGAAACGAAACGGACGAAAGTTAAAAGAGTTGAGGGACGAGCAGCGACCGCGTTGGAATGGAATAAAATCGAGCAAAAAGGTACGTGGACGTTGAAGGGAAGGAAGGGGGGGAAGGGGAGGGAGAGAAAAGGGAGATTGATTGTGCCGGCACTTGCTCTGGCGGAACACATCGATGAAGTTACATTACCGACTAGACCGAGTTACGCAAAGTGGACGACGCTACAAACTGGACGGCCGCTAAACTTAATTTGCACTTCGGAGCAACTTCCGGTTAAACCGTGTCCCGACGGCGGTGCCGAGTCGCTCTTTGCAACTTGGACGCCAGTTTGCCTATTCACCGATCGCTTTCCAAGTCGAATCTCGTTTCTATCCTGCACGTTAAGTCCTGTGCATATCTATATATATATATATATATATATATATATCTTTCTGGCGGATTGACACGAGGTTGAAACGTCAGATTTTTATCAATCCTTTTTTTTTTTATTTACGCGCTGGAAAATACACGATCGAGTTTCACAATTTTCCGCGGCTCCTATTTCTCGCGATTTTACGCGACGAATTTTATACGACGACGGCATCAAAGTTGAACTTTTGATTCATCGGGCGTATTTTCCTCGATCGTATTTTCCTTTGTGCGGGCTGAACTTTGTGTCCCTATCTTTTTTCTTTTTTTTTTTTCAATTCGCTGAATTCGATCGTTTTATTTATGAAAATTGTTTCTCGGCAGTGTGGTGGATTTCTCGTTTTGATATTCGAATTTTGGTGATACCGGTAATATTCTGAGAATCAAATTCCAGCTGACGCTGGTCTCGTCTATTTTTGGAAAAATTTGTAGAATCGAAAGAACAACGAAAAGAGTCGTTTTGCACATTTCGATTAATTATTTAGTGAATTTCGTGTTATTTAAACAAAATTATTACACTACTCTCCCTTCTAGTTTAAAAAGTTTGTAGGAAAGATAATTTATATTTCTATCGATAATATTCTGAGTGAAACTAAAATTTTTACTACACTCACTTCAATCTTGCCATGTTCTTTTCATTTTCAACTCGGTAATATTCTTTTAATCATGTAAGTATATAATAGATATAAAAAAAAAAAACTCTTACCATTGTGCATGATTTCTCAATTTTTTTCTCTGAAACTGTTGAAATATAAAAATTTAAAGATCGTAGTTGAATGAATATTTTCTTTCGATCTGAAAACTTCATAGAGTTAATGAATGAAAAGAGCAATGAAGAAAATCGTTTCATCATTTTCTATTAATTATTTCTCAATAATATATAGTACATATATATAGTACATTTTTTTTTTATAAACAGTATTTTCTTTCAATTTAAAAAAATTTGCAGATGATTGAAGAATGAAGAAAGCAACAAAAAAAAAATCGTGCAGTTATTTGCTATAAATTATATTCCGATTGTGTTATGGATTTTAATTATTTAATTAGGTAATATTCTGAGATGTTCTCCTCAAACTTGCTACGTTCTTTGAGTTCATTTTCGACTCAGCATTATTTTTTCTTTTTGCCGATATAAATATATAATAAAACATAAAAGAAGTTTCTGTGTGTGTTATGCTAAGAATCTCTTTAAAACTTTTTCTTCGCTTAAAAATATAAAAATTTAATAAAGCAGGATCAATGAGTATTTTCTCTTAATTTAATTTGAAAAAAAAAACATGTAAAGTCACAAGATCAAAAAAAAAAACAACAACAAAATCGCTTTGTTACATAATTATTTCTGAGTAACGTAATATATTACATATTTTGATATGTGAATTTCGTGACGTTTGATGGCACTTTGAACCGAGAATAAAAACACTTTTTCAACAAGCACGTTCGTCCAATTTAAAACAAATTTGTGAAATTAAAGGATGAAAAGAGCAAGCGGGAAAGCAGCCGTTATTTTCTATTTTTATACATTCGAGCGTGGTTCATCGGGTCACGATGTATACGCTCACTTTATTGCATATTATGAACCTCAATGAGATACATGCGGTAGGTAGATAATCGAATGGGGACCGGTAGGTGTAGGAGGGGAGAGAGATACGGTATATCCTCAGGGACATGTGTAAGTGCCCTTCCATCTAGGCCCGAAATATAGTTTAAATAAAATATTGATTTCCCTGGCGCAAAGTGAAATTATGTTTTTAATGCGCATTTATCATTCCCTTTATCGCAGCCGCTCCCCGTAGCTCCACTTAAAATTAAGTGAAATTCGTACGCGCGTTTATCGTTGATTAGAACGCGACGAAAAACACGAAAGATATCTTAAAGCGACGCTGAAACTTTATTCCCTTCTCGCTTGTGTAGTGCGATTTATAGAAATTTCATTTGCAGGGTGAAACGAGTTTAATCGAGGTAAATGTATATTCTAAAAGAAGCGCGCGCGTTCTAGAATTTGCACTTCCCAGAATTTTGTTATCGAAGAATTTGCGTTCGTTTAACGCGTTGAGAACTAACGTTTGCAATTTGCAATACTTTTCAGTTAATTTATATTTTTGTATTTAAATTTAATTTATATTCTTATAGTTTTATTTATATACTTATATTTTTCAATTAATTTATATTATTATGTTTTATTTTTTTCTCTTCTTTTAATGTTAATATATTCTAGTTATATTTAATTTATATTCCTATATTTTTATTTATACATTTATATTTTTCAATTAATTTATATTATTATGTTTTATTTTTCTTTTCTTCTTTTAATGTATCCTAGTTATATTTAATTTATATTCTTATATTTTTATTTATATATTTATATTTTTCAATTAATTTATATTATTATGTTTTATTTTTTTTCTTCTTTTAATGTTAATATATCCTAGTTATATTTAATTCATATTCTTATATTTATATTTTTTAATTAATTTATATTATTATGTTTTATTTTTTTTCTTCTTTTAATGTTAATATATCCTAGTTATATTTAATTTATATTCTCATATTTTTATTTATATATTTATATTTTTCAATTAATTTATATTATTATGTTTTATTTTTTTTTTCTTCTTTTAATGTTAATATATCCTAGTTATATTTAATTTATATTCTCATATTTTTATTTATATATTTATATTTTTCAATTAATTTATATTATTATGTTTTATTTTTTTTTTCTTCTTTTAATGTTAATATATCCTAGTTATATTTAATTTATATTCTCATATTTTTATTTATATATTTATATTTTTCAATTAATTTATATTATTATGTTTTATTTT